TCTTCGCCAAAAATCATTATTATGTCTATATTTTGTGGCGTGATGCCCAAAAATCGAAGACATCAACATACTGTGCAAAGAAAAGCGAATATTCACGACCTTGTTACGGGTCAACGAGCACTTTGTGATGCGAATAGTCACAGAACACGATCAACGACAAGAATACTATAATAAGGCGGCGCTCTTAAACACTTACAAATCATTATAATCGCGTCAAAGATTTAAAGAATGCACTTTTCTAACCTTTTACTGCAATAAAAATAAGAAATAGACCGCGGAGAAAACCACGTTATTTCACGCTGAAATCCATGATAACTTCGATGTTGCGTCACGTACGTAGAAAATTGCATCATGGGATACTATTCGATCGTCGTCTGAGACAGTTTTAAAGTGTCTGTCACACCTCTAGAAATGTACACGTCTTGCAGGGTTTCTGGGAGAATCTCACGACTAATAAAATTTGCGAGGCAACTTGCAAGAAAAGTTGCCTTTTTGTGTAGATGTAGATGGCCTGTTGCAACTAAACCATGAACGACGCAAACAGCAAAGGGAAAATGAGAAATCAAAGAAAAATACACCCTAAGTCAGGAATCTAATTATTTTATTTGTGGACATATTAAAAAAATGTTTCGCTTAAGGAATCACGTCCAAAGTTGTCCAATATTTCCAGTCTAAAAAAGTAAACTTTCCAAAACCCACGCGAAAACCACTTGACCCTAAGGTCTATTTACAATAATAATTTACATAACATTCAAAACTGTCTTCAGTTGTATACAATAGTTCTCAAATAATGTTAAATTCAGGTGGCATTGTTTTATTGATTTGCTACTTTTTTGCTTTCAGTGGACGTTGGCAAAAATTTAAGCTAAAAGTTCAAAACCAATCACAAAACGTGCCGTCATAATCTCGACAGTCATAATCATTTCACAATTTGCACTTCGTGAACGAATAAATACAAATCTCTTGAACTATTTGAACAAACATTAGCAAACTGTACATAGTTAATCTTTGACAGATGATCCTCTCTTGCCTTTCCGACCCTCCCTAGGGGGATGGTGTTCTAGTTTTGTGCTCTTTTATCAAGGATGATGGCCTTTCTCTCCTCCCATCATTATCCGTGGGGGAGACATCAAGTCGAGGGGGAGATGATTTCTGTGCCTGGTCTTCCGTCTGTGACCCAGTAAGAGTTGCAGTGTCCCCCAAACCCTCTTGCGAAGGATGGGGTAAGTCCGTTTTCTCGTTGCTCGTTTGTAGTAGGCTGTCATCAGGGGATGTATGTTCTGGTTTAGTGGTCTTATGATTTCCCCCACTTGAGCCCTGCACGTTTGAGGCGCTACTATCAACAGAGGCGGGCCTGGTAGCTAGCGGTGTCTCTTCAAGAAGTCCTGTTGAGCCAACAGGCGACATAGCAGCTGCGGGGGAGGGAGGAGGGGCGCTGTCGGTTTGTATCCTCTCCTCCACCTGACTCGTTCTTCTATGCTCTTCTGCAAGTCTTTGCTTTTCCTTTTCTTCTTCCATTTCTTTCTTGTCCTTTTCAATGGCATGCATTTGTTGTTGGTGTTCTTGGAGGATTCGCTGCATTTCTTTGGGGCGCGGTGCGTGTAGCTGCGGAGATTTCGTGGGAGGGGTGGCCGGGTTTTGTTTGTTTTCCTCCGTCGTTCCCAAGATGGAATCAATATCATCAATTGCGGCCTGAAGAACAGAGTTGAAAAAAGAATGAATTAGCTCATCAATGATTTGCAGAAACTAAAGTAAATCACAACACACGTATAGCAAACAAATCCGTGTCTAAAACGATACTCGTATCTTTAACATCCAAACTTCAACTATCGGCCATTTCTCTATGGCATCAGAGTTTTACTCTTTCCAGCTGACAGCCGATCCAGAAACTCTAAATGAGGGGCAGTTCAACTGTATTGATGAGATACAATGTAGCTGAGGCTAACTGACCTGAAAGTTACTTTCCCCTTGCATGTTAGGAGCTGAAATTTCTTGATGAATGACTGACAAGTTACGAGCAAATGTGGACAGAGAGCCTTGCAGGTCATCACTCATTACACTGAAACAAAAGCAACAGACCTTGTTTGTAAATAGAAGCGTTAAGGTGAAGAGCAAGTCCCAAAGGGTTGGAGAAATTGAGTAACCTTGACGTGTATTGATGGGCAATGAATTAACACCAACACAAGTCGTCAGATGTTTCAGTAGGTTGTCCGTATCATTTTAAATGATGGTTGATGGTACCTAACAGACAGAAATAGTCAAAAATAGGTCAACTTACAACATTCCTAAATGCTCTCGTTTCGAACTGTCCACCAAAGTAAAAATTGTGCCAGCTTTTTCCTGGAAATAAACAATGATTACAAATAACAGATGATGAGCCTACTCTTCGTATCTTCAGATTTAACCTCTCCTGGTGAATCGCTTGAAGTCTTGATCGACATAATATTTGGAAACTGGACTTTTCGAAAAAAAAAATAAAACAAAACAAAACAAAATCCCATCTGAATGTACGTAAACAAACAGAACATTGCACTGCATACTGCATAGCAAATGAAACGTGATCGAAACTAGAAGAAACACGTGCGCAACACGTGATTACCTTCATGTCAAAACCAATCCCATGTGCACGACACATCTGAAAGAACACACTGTAATGAATCACACTCAGGTTACTGTGCAGCAGTCTGGTGCTCACAATAGCGTAACGGTTAGGATTCGGTGGTGGCTGGAAACCATCAAATTGAACTAAATAAGATAAAGAACCTCCAACTAATAAAATACCTTAATCAGATCAAACTAGAACGAGAGTCAGGCCAGCGTATAAACTTCATCAAAATTCCGTAAGGCGATCGGGCAGACGAAGTCAACTCGCTCGCACATATTCTCAACTTCTTTAATCAGCGCTGACAAAAATCGATGAGACAAAACTTTTCTTTAACTCTGATGACTCAATTTTCACTGCTCACAATTGATCTAGTAAGAACATGTCGCGAAAATCAATAGCAATCTGGGCGATAGAGTATTTGATGTAATATTGAAAATTTTCATCTTAAGTTGATTAAGATAAAACACGAAAGTATCTTACAATTTATGTAAAATAGTAAAACTGAGAAGTTTAAAAAGTTAATGCGACAAACGGAAACATCTTGCCTTTGCTTAAGATACAATAGAAACATGTTATAGGCAGATCATATGGAGCCGACAAACATTACCACCAGATGAAGAGGTTTTTAACAACACTCGATCATCATCCAGCTTACTCCTCTCATACTTGCCAAAGACATAGATATTACAGCTTATACCAATTCAGTTCTACGTTCACGTAAACAAACTAACGTGTGGTTCGCGCGAATAACAACACACCTCATCCTCTTCCACTGTCTTTCTTCTCCGTCGTCTTCCGCTTTCCTCTCGCTTCTTTTTGACTGGAACCACAAATGCTGACAGAGCGGGTTGAAACTCTCCACCAGACACATATAGCATAAGTCTGGTCATAGCCATACTGTCACTGTACCTAAGTTTTAGGTCCACTGCCCACACAACCTGTTCCAGCTGATCAACAACAAAATATAGCACTCAAATCATCCAATACAAATCTTGCAAACAGATCATTTTTATTAGCAGGAGAATTTCAACCCAAAAAAGACCATCATATTTTCCTAGTCCTATTCAGTAGCAAGTTCTGACAGGTTTAGACGTTAAATGAGTTTACACGACCCTTAAGATGACAAATTTTTTTCCTTCAGTGGATGCTAAGGATTTTGTGGCGCGTGTTTGTTATAAATTGTCTTGCCCTCGATTATGTTTGTACTCGCAGTATACCAAGGTGTTTCTTGGTTTGATACCAACAAACAACTTTCAAGAAGCATTCGTGGGCGTTTGTCCTCTGACGATAGCCTGGATCAGTAACATGTGTTCTCGCAGGCTACCGGACAAAATCCCGTACATTTTGAGGTTTGTTCTGAGGAATGTTTCTCCACAACTGACTTAGTTTCTACACCCTTTCAGCATACGATCACGGAGCTATTCACGGCAGAGGGGAGAACAACTTTCGCTGAACATAAAGTAAATTAAGCAGCAACATGTTACAAGCGACTGTTGTGGCCTCTTCTGAGTGAGCCATACGGGAACGAGGACAAAATTTATAACTATTATAAAATAACTGAGATACTACGTGCGCTCTCTCATTAGTCAATAGGTGTGTTCAGATGAGAGTGAGAGGGTGAGTAAGCACTCCCGCAGTTGTGTGTGTTGTAAAAGCAACAGAGGACTTTTTCCTTGTTTACATAGCCTCATCTAAACACTTCGGGGGGTTGGGAGAATTCTCAAAAGTTATGCAATCCTTCGACTAAGTCTCGGGTTTGCATACCCGTCTCCAATTCTCCCAACCCCCCGAGTGTTTAGATGAGGTAAAGTAAACACGGACAAAGTCCTCTATTGCTTAATCATTCCATTTCAGTAGAAATACTAGAAAAACGCTGAATTAAAACTTGGTTCAGACCATTGTCAACAGCATTTCAAACATGACAAAATAACCCAAAAGCCATTCATCGATTCCAGGTCAAACGTTGCCTTAAAACTCATGTGAAACGATTTTTGGTATTTAGCCCCCTTCACATGCATTTTGTTATTTTCATCTAGAACTAACGGCGCGTTAAAATACACTAGAGGCAAAGTTGGAGTAGACTCGAGACACTTTATTATTAAATTCGACGCGTGACTCAAACGTCGAACATTTCACTTCGATTCAGTTCAAATTAGTCAATCAGTCACAAATGAAACGCGAAGTTTGAACAGTGTGTTAGTATTCAGAGTGATTCCACTTTTATTACATGATAAACAGGTCCACAATGAAAAGGACATTCTGACTGGGTCCCTAAGAGGCCCAAAACGGACCAATAAAATAGACCGCTCGCGAAAACGGTTTGGAATTGCTTTTCAAAACGTCGTACAAATATAAAACGTTTTTCTTATATAAAAATTCTTTTCCTTTTTGGATGACGGACAATTTCAGTTCAACTCTCATGAAAGGGACATACATGCTTTTGCGCACTTTGCGCACTTCAAATTGAAAAGCTATTACAATGAAAACTTAATTGTTATCGTTATTTTACTAGAAAACAATTGAGACTTGATGATCGCGAACTTTCTGTTATTCCTAAATCTTAATTAACGATATTACACCAACTATTAATAAAGGAACAAACCTCTGGGGAATAGAGCATCTTTTTTTATTTCACAGCGCAATAAACAAAAGTTTCATTGCACCAGCCATTTTAACAGATACTTTTCATCCAGGACCACAGCGAAGGTTTTCAAATTGTTGTCTGTTCAAATGGCAGCATTTCTTAATAACTCGAATAACAAGACCGGCTCTGCGCCTGGTATGTCGGCCGACATGGCGCGAGCGAGGAACAAGTTCCTTCCCTCCATCTACGAAGAAAAGAACGACGACAAGATTCAAGACTTTCGTAAAGCTCTAATGATAAACGAGGATGATGATGAAGAGAATGGCCGACTAGCAAAGGTGCACTCAGCTATACACGAGGCAGAGAGCGTCGATGACAACAAACCCAGCACTCCTCGACGAGCAATAACGGCGGCAGGATTTAAACCACCCATCAGACGTTTCTCTGAATCACGAATTGAGCAGTGGCGTTCAAAACGTCAAGGCTCCGCTTATGTCGGAGGCAGCCGCAGCAACTCTTGTATTCCTTTGAGTCAACGGTCATTTGGAATTGGGCAACGAAAAGTAACGTCACCAGGGGTGAACAGAGCGAGACAAGTTGATGTAGCAGAAGTTATCGATTTAACGAATCCTGAAGAAGTTAAAGAAATCGCGCGGAGGTTCTTTCAAGACGAGCTTAAAATGGACTTGTTGGACCCGCGTTTTGATGAACCGGAAGATTTTCTTGCTCGTCTGAGGTGGAAAGCCGAAAGGAAATTTAGCTACGGGGAACTATGGCAACGAAGGATGTCAGGAGGAGGACACCATAACCTGACCATAATGATGAACAATGCTACAATTAACCAGCGCACCACTAATGATAAACTAGTACAGAAAAACAAACATAGCCTAGCAAATCCACACAATCAAACTGATTCTCCTTTTTTACAGATATCTTATTCGAAACCAACGGTATTAAAAACATTGGACGCAACTCGTTTCGCTGAGAAGAAAAAACTGACCACTTCGTTTAAGCCGCAGGCGGATTACGGCTCCAGACGAACACGTGGCAGAATTCTGAACCCAATTAGACGAGACTTGAAAAAGACAAACACTTAGAGAAACCGTGGACAGACTCAAGATGAACTAAGGGATTCTGCATAAAATTTATACAGACCTGTCGAGTATTACACAGTATACAAAATATGATACGTGTGCCTAAAATTGGAGTATAGTTACAAATACAATGGAAATTCCTCCGTCAATAAAGCAAAACGAAAATTGAACGGATCAGTTGATTGCTCATATTACTGTCATAGTTTGTTCAAAATTTCGTTAGTGAATAACATGCACGCCGCAGTAGAGAAACCTGATTTTTGGTAGGGAAATGTCGAAAGAATAAACTTGCACGTTTATGGACCTCACCTTCGGTTCGGTCCACAAACACCTAACTCGCGTTAGCTCAATAATATCTAGAATAACATGTTATTTTAGTGCACTTGATTCTTTTTGCAAGTAAATTTAAATTTAATACGCTTGTATTTAATCACGGTAACAATTCTACAATCATCACAGTTATATTATCTGGTGTTATCGTTGTTGCTACCACTGTTAGGTTTGTTAAGTTTGTTTTGTGTTGTTGGTGATAGTACAGTTAGTGTACATGTACCTACCGATTTAGGATCAATAAACGTCACGAAGTCGATAGAAAAATATCCCACAATTCCACGCAGTTTACAGGCGTCAGACACAGCTTCAGTTGCCCTACACAATACCGACGGATCCACGGAGGTCTGGGGCACAGAGAAACCCCAGCATCTGAAAGGCGAGGCAGCGTGAATCTGTGGAGAATTTGGTCAAATGATCAGTGATATGGGTGTAACAAAACCGCAGGTGTTTTCCATTAATTCAACCAAAAATTCGGCTTGAGTTTCCGGAAATTTCCAGTGACGAATGAAACATCCAGCCTCAAGAGGTTCACCCAAATATTCGGAAATTTCTCACCGGATATTTTTGTAACGTTTTCTTCTTATCCTGGTATTTTCGATGGAATGGTTCGCATTTCGGAAATTCAACAGCTTTGCCGGAATTTGTAATTGAATGAAAAACACTCCGCTTGCCTTCTAAAAAGTTAGTTCAGCGACGCTAGGCAAGTTCAAACATTCAACTTACTTGATCTCCCATAGACAAAACAGTTGTTTCTCCAGTCGGTTCAATTAAAACGTCAACACTCAAAGCTGTAACACTGTCAGATGGAGGACAGGCTTCGATTACTCCTCCTGAAAACAAAAAAAAAAAAGTTCAGTTGTACTTTACTGATTTACTCTATATCATAGTGTTGTCAATGTCCCTCCGCTCCTCTCAGTGACACAGGGATTAGGAACAAAAAAACTTTTATTCAGGCCTAGCGCACCAAATGAAATAGAAGAGAGGTTCTTCCAGAGAAACTCAGTAAATTTGTATCTACGAGGAAGTAAAGAAAAGGCTGGAGTGTGGAAAATGTACATACAAAAGCTCTCAAAAATTACAAGCAGGCTATATGATAACAAGACACTACATATGGTAACCTTATACCATGGAATGCACTGTTTTCGAAGTTTTCAAATCTTTGTTACAAACACCGTACCTGTAAGTGTATCCTGTAATACTATAAACTCCCACCGTGGAAAAACGAATGAACTCATCAATTTATTGTTCCTCAAGGAGGAACTCGAGGAGTTAACGAGTTTTGCGTGCTTACACATGATCTAAAAATCACAAAATATCACAAGCAGGTTTGGGAAGACCGGAGAGTTACCACGTCAACGTGACATCATAAACAAATCATACAAATCTGTAGAACCTTCAGTGCAAAAAGCGTCAAAGGCTAGAGTTTGACTTGAATGGAACTTCCCCTAACTGGACAATTCACTGACCTCTTTTGAGAAAATCTTGAAGAAATCTGTCCCACGTTGGGTAGAGCTCACTATTAACGGGAGTAGCATGATGGGCCATAATCTCGGGGACTTCTGCCGACACTCTAATCAGAGTTGGCTCGTGAGCCCATTTTTTGTTCCATTTCTCTCCATACCTCTGACACTCTTTCACAGCCCAGGAGTAGCACTTCAAGTACGGCGTCACGTCACAGAACGCTGCAAAAAAAAACCCACAAAATTTGAAGACTGAATTACAAGGCAACACCATCTGGGCAATAGTACCTACCTGTCCCTCTACCATCGAATTCATTATCCATCTTAAACAGCCATCGCTTGACATGAAGATTTTCCGTTACCAGCTTAGCCAGACTCTCGTGAAGCTGAAAACAGGAAAATATATTTTATTGCTTTAACATTTTCCAAGATTTTGACTCATTTACGTTATCACGTAGCAGAACTATTTTGATGCTTGACAGACGCCAAGTTGGACTGCTTCGATAAGTAAGTAAGTAAAACCTTCATTTAAGAGCCTGTATGTTTAGCCTAAATAGACTAACCCTAACCCTAACCCTGCTTCCCCTAACCCTGCTTCCCAATGTATCGCTTATCAAGATCTTTTACTGCTTTCTTTTACTGTACAAGCAGTTCTGTTACATACGACAAACGATAAAAAATAGAAACTAAATAATACTATTGCCTGAATATGAAAAGCAAAGGTTACCAGGCCTCAGCCTTTGACTGAGACTGTAAACACCAGAGGTGCTAGGTCGCTACATCAATAGGTTCGATGTACCTACCTGCGGAAGACTGTAAATGTCAAAGTGTCCCGGTGGAATTTCAATCTTTGCGCTGAGGAAAATCCTCTTGGAACCTGATTTGGTGGAGTAAAGCGTCGCTACTTCTGGTTCAGGGCTCAAGACTGGAATATCTGACAACAAGTCATGATGTAGCATATTTAGGTATTACAAGGGTTGGCTGTCACCATCTTAAACTATACTGCGCGCACTTAGTTACTGTATTTGATTTGCCATTTCAGCCAGCAACACGGAGCAAGTTAACGCTAATTAAAGCACTCGCCGTTTTCAGTTTTACTTAGAAACCATGATCATTTTTGTAGAGACTAATCCTAGATGACAAACTACCTACCGAGCAAATCAGCCAAGTAGATATCATCTTTGTGGAGGACACCGGGAACTATGTATGCCTCTCGGCCTTTGATTAAATTCTTTATTCTGGAGCGAAACATACATGAAAATTAGATCACCACAGAACTTTGAAATACAGGGTGAGAATTCAGATTCTTATGATTAAGAGTTTATTCACATTGTGCAATCACTGAGAGTAACACGAAAAAGCTATGACAGTAAGCAGCCTCCACCTTAAACGTTACCTACATGTACCTGTAGGAACCTATGGGTTTACTTCATACTTGTTTCCAGGACTAAATTGGTATACGCAGACTCTGTGTATATTGATCATATCATGGATTATACCGGATCAAGGAGCCTGAGAGGTTTTTAGTGAAGTCATATCTTGGTATAGCTAATGCATTTACAATGATGTGTCGGTAATATTTGTGGAAAGAACAAATGCGAGGGCCTTGAGATTTGTGTACAGCGACAAGATCCCGACGTACGAAGCGCTCTTAAGGCGCATCGGATCAACATCAACCTTAGAAAATCGTCGCACTCAAGACATGTTACTGACTGTGAACAATATTATTCAAGGCAGGGCTCCATCCAGCTTCAAAAATCTTGTAACTGAGAAGAGAACAGCGTACAATCTTCGCGGAAATTCTAATCTTTCCATACCTAAAGTGAACACTACCAGATATGGTCTTAAGTCGTGGCGTTATGCAGCAGCAAAGTACTGGAATATGCTACCTCGTGATATTCGTTCCATGGCAGGCTCAAAAGACTTTTTGAAAAAGATTCGGCAAACTGATTTTCATGTTTAATACAGTTTGATTATATTTTATCGCTTTTAGCTCGGTTTTTTTGGGGGTTTTCTTTTTAGTGATTTTTAAATTAGCTTGATGTAAATACCTTTTTTTTTTAAGCTCCTACAATGTTGCACATTACTTAATTTAAATCGTGGAACACCTGGAAACTAGCGAACAGCTAAGTGTGTACTTGTCCACGTTAAATAAAGCATGTCTATGTATGTCTATGTCTAATATTTTCATGTTGCCATTTCAAGGGGAGTATCGTACCTTTTCACCGTTCGTGGACTGTACTTCAAGATTGATGAAAGACACATATTGTGAGTCTGGTAGAAATACAAAAAAACAAAGCATCAGACGCAAATTAATACAAAGAGCTCTTTAAAGTGAGAAGTTAGAAATGTAAAGGAGGTGGAAGTTTAGAGAACAAAAAGTAGAAAAGAGGAAAGCACAGAAACATAGTCAAAACACGATGTAAACTCAGGTCTAAATGTCATGATCACATTACTCGCTAGAATGTACAGCGGATTCGAAGAGGTTGTAATAATATTGAATTAAACCGATCTCCATATCAACGCCAGTCGTTCACGTGTAATAATAATTATAATAGTAAGTATAAGAGACCACTGGAAAATATTGAAATCTCTTGGACAGAAAACATTTTGCCGTTACAACTATTCTGTTCATTTCCCTCTCTTTCCAAGGTTGATCAAAGCTTAATCAAACTCTGTTCAACGAAAGGAAAAAAAAATAATTATGTAACGTAGCGCTTCTCACTTACCGGAAATCTATCGACAGCGTCCGGTACAATGATCTTGTAGCGGTTTTCAATGTCATCTTCTTCCTCGCCTCCAGTCTCACTCTTTTCTGACCTCCTCGCTTTCATTCCAAGAAGTTTAGAGTAATATTGGTACACTTCGTCATTCAGTTCCACGGGACAAACATAAATAACATCAACCTTGGGATCTATATGGAAACATTCAAAATTTCCATGAATACAATAAGTGGTGCATAATTGTATGAATTGTATCAGACGTTCTTACCCGCTATGTCACATAATCTTGCCATCTGAAGATTTTGAAGAATGTTTATTTCACTTAATTCATCTCTAATATGCTGGGCATATCCTACAAAACAACAACACACAATCACCAAATAAACAATAAGTGCTCATATCATATCATGTACCAGACTCGTCTGGTCAGTAGAATTACAAATTCGAAACCAAGTAATGTTTCTGCAATTCAGCTTCCACAATTAGAGTGGAAACTGCAACAGACTCAGTCAGGTACAGAAGTCCCTAATATTAAACTAGTGTGTGGGTTTAAGACTGGTTTCAGTAAAGCACGCCAGAACAGCGTTTTAGTACCACTCAAAACAAAACAAACATTGTGATCATGTGACAGTAACAGTGACTTGAGGCAGTGGCCCGGATTGTTTTAGCTGGTTCCGATCACTATAACAGCACCGTGTAGTGTTACTTAGTAACCACAACACTCACCTAAAGACGGTATATGAATGATAACTCTCCTGGAATCCTTAATACGAGGCCAGCTTTCTTTAAACTCCTACAAACACAGACGTGAAAAAAGTGAAATATAGAGAAAACATGTATACAACATTGACCATAATACTGAAGAGGAACCCTTAACGCTTTACACAAAATTAATGACCAATAATAGACAATGTACCTTTGCTCGTATTTTAAATCGCTTTAGCTGTATTTTTCTTGTTTCCTTCAGTTGCTTTCGTACCATGGATAACTTACAGCTCATAATCCACGATATTGCGATGACACCTATAAACACGATATAAAATGATGGTTCAGACAATAGCATTGCAAACTTTACTTGATATGAACAGGTTCTTTTGGATTCTAATGACAGGCTACCATGATTTTTTTCAAAATGCAAGGAGAACTTAGTAACTCATCACTGTGACACAAGCAACAGTGACAAAACAGCGCATCCGTTCTCTTATAGCCTAAAACAACATGGCGTTACAAGGATTGCAAACTACCCTCGTCCTGAGTAAGTTCACAAGTTAACAGGAAAGCCCTTAACTCACGATGTTGTTTTCTAGTCGGTAGCGAATGTAAAAAACGTTTCTAACCTGCCGCCCATTTCCTTTTCCGGTATTGCAGGTAGGCTGTACGGTCTTTGTATCTTCGCCACGTGGACTGAAAAGTTACAGATTAGTAAAGCATAAGACGGTGGATACGAACAACTGCGTGTTCTTGTTTTCGATCGTATTTTACATTGTACAGCCTATCACAACAGGTTTGCTGTGCGTCAAACCTGTCTAAGCTCCACTTAAAAATCATACTCAAAGATTTTTCAGACTACTACATGTAACTGCAAAATTATTTCCCATCACTTGTATGGTTGCTAAAAGTCTCCATAATATCAATTCTATTTCGTTGCACTTCTCTTAACCTATAGTGACACTTTTCCAGTACAACTGTGAGAAGTTGTTTAAAATGCAAGGTCTATGTTTGTTTGGCTCTTGTTGTAATGCACTAAAGAACTGAACTAAGTCATGGAAATTACCTGTATTTTGATAGCCGCCATTTCTGTCCCTTTTGGACCAAGGTATCTCCTCCCAGGAGTTTTAATAATCTTTTCTACGTCATCTGCATTTAGAATACAGGTCAGGAAATGCTATGGAAAAAAAAAATGCCGTGACTTGCCCTTTCTTTACTTGGTTGTTCGTTTGTAGCTTGTGTGAATATGTTTGCACACTTCTTTCAGTCGTCAGTGAAAAAGGCTGCTTCACTGGGTTTATCCTGTCTTTTTCTACAGTGCTTGAAAATAGATTTAACTTTATTATATATCTCTGCATTAAAAAATAAAATAAATATCAAATATCTCACTTGACCACTCCCCCAATGGGGCTTTTCAGGGTCAATGAAACCAAATGATGAAACAAATAATGTAAATGAACATAACATGGTTAAAAACTCCCCACTGGCAGGAGGTAGACCAGTTGGCTACATACAAGCATGACCGAGGAGTTGAACTAGGGTCTACCGAGAAACAACTCCAGCTTAGTGGTCAGAGTGGGACTTGAACCCGCGACCTCCAGATTTCAAGTCCGGCTTCCTAACCACTTGGCTACGCTGCCTCCTTAATTGTATTCTTACAAGAACACCACTTCTTCCCTTTCATTATAAGGCACGTTTCCAACTTTCGACATATTCCACTCTGACTATTGTGAAAAGAAAACAAGCTAGACCACCAAATCTAGATGATCTACAGACCTCAAGAGTTGGTTCTTGTTCCAATTCAAACACTAATGCTAGATCAGCCAGTCTGAAAGAAAATTGAATTGACAAAAATTAGCATACGATTCCAGCTACAAGCTATAAACTCTGTACAAATTTCCAACACCTTTTCCTTACCTATCACCATCAATGAAAGCAATTGGAACACAATAGTTGGAGAGAAGCTCCTCCAGTTTCAGAATTAACGTCAAGATACTGGAAGATAATGATAAAATAGTACAAGGGTAACAACATTGATAAATTTCCCCTGCAAAAACTGAAAAAACTCTGGGTGGGCAGAAATGTTACACTGTCTGGAAGAATGCATAGGAAAATGTGAAAACTACAATGCCCTGAACAAACTTGACTTATCACTAGTCGCACAAAGGAGAATAAAAGCCGCCAGCCAAAAGTTGCCAGCGACCAGCCAGAGGGACCAGTCTTCTTCAGTTCAGTTTTATTCTCCAATCAAACAATCGCTGTTGCAAAACCATGACACCACATTATGGATCCTATTTCTGGTGAACCTGCACCTAATTTATGCATGTACCTGAAACGACCACAGACTGAAAAACCTAGTGGGGCTACACGTACTGATTAAATACTACATTAGTTATTTCCCAGACAAACTTTCTACAAAGCTCTACAAAGCAGTTCTAATCAGAATTTTTGCTGTAAATCTTGCCTCTGAGGACTGTTGGAGGTACGAGCCTGCAATCACAGCCCAGAATCAAAGAGATTACTGATTAGCTTAACACTGATTCATTTTATCAGTAGGTAATTAGATAATAATATTAGATAACTAATTAGATACACGACCCCTCAAGCATGTAGTGCTTAAACGATAATTGTGTTTTAAATAAAGGATTTTACTTTACTTTACTCTACTTTACTTTACTGATACACCAAGAAGACTCATTTTTTTCTCTTCTCGCTTTAACAAGAGCACAAGTAGTATAAATGCTGTGTTTCCCTAGAAACAGAGTGCACTCACCTTCCCCAGGACAGACAGTAGTGTTGCTTGAAATCTAAGTAGTCCTAGAAGTGAACAGTTAAACAACACAATGTGTTATTGGTAATGTGATTGTCTTTGAATGTGAACTACTACATTGTAAGGCTGGCAATAGTTACACAATCACTATGACGGCTGTAAGTCAGCCACTTTGCGGTACAGGTTGTCAAATGAATTGTCCTATAGCACAACTAAAAAGGTACAATTAATGTACATGTAAGTCCTGGCAGAAGTTGATGAAATGAGAAGATTGGTGTACAGCTTGGGGCCAGAGAAAGAAAACAGAACAGGGTACATGTAGTCATGAGACCTGCCAGAAAATATGTCAGATAATGTGCAGAACATAGAGACCTGCTCTAATGATGACTCTGTACCTGAGAAGTTACTCTTGTCTTGCCATTCTGTATAACAAACTTGTGCACACTTTTCAGTTCATTTGCTGGAGTGGAAGCTGGAACAGGGATCTGACAGGCATGAAAAAGAAAACTTTTGAAAAGGTATCTACATGAACAATTGTCTTCAGACACTTACATTGTATATTGATGTAGTCATTAATTAAACTAAGCCTAACACATTTTCACCTTTATGAAATAAACGTCTGTAAATAAGCTCTTCTTACATTACAAGCCCTGAAATCATAAATCTTACAAAACATTTTCTCTGAAAATAACCATCATTCAACATGTAAGAAGACTTGATTTTCATTTGGTGTCTCATGACTGTGTGCTTAGAGAATGCTATTGATGCAAGAATTATTGCACAGTATTTTTATGAGATGTACAGTGTAAGTATCAACAAAAACTTAATGTTTTTGTAAATAGAAGATAGGTTGACATAGATTAGAAACAAGGCACTAATTTTTCCAACTCTTTTCAACCTGTAAATATAAGCTCATAATGCAGTGTTATACAACAAAAATATATTTACAGTAATCCCTTTACATGCAACAACATTACAGTTAAATGACTGTAAAGAAAGAAACAAATATTGTACAGAAAGTCAGTAGTGTTGCATAGCATCAATGGGTGTAGGGCTTCTCTGCTTTAATACAACTGCAGGAACCTCTTCTTCTCTTTACACTCTATCTGTAGTTCATATGTGAATTGTTTCACATATATGTACACCACTTGTATAAAGACAAAACTCTCTGTTCACCAGTGCAAAATGTACTCTTACTGTGTCAGGTCCTTCTATAGCTTTTACTGGGAGTGGTTTCATCTTGGAGTTCTGAGTCCAGCCCTGCATGAAAAATGTGACAAGTTTAACACAAAATCTTTGGGGCTATCATTGCCTGAGTGAGTGTTTCTAATTAACAGCCATGAATGATTTCAGAAAAACAAAATCAGTACTAGTCGGTAGGAAACTCGTGGTTTGACTGTGGACTTTGTAGAATAATATTTGACAAAATTAACAACAGGAAGCCATCAGGAAGTGAGAAAATGGGGCATGCACTAACACTCGTCCAAAAATTGGCATTACCATATTGAATATCAATGAAATGCAACAACCACATAAAGAGTAAAGAGTAAAAGAGTAAAATAAAGAGTAGTGAAATACATGTATACCCTGCTGGGAGCTGAAACCTGCTGAGTTGGAGATTTGATTCTTCTTTTCTTTTCTGCAAGTGATGTTTGGCGTGCAGCCTGGACTCCTGAAGGATCCATCTATCAAACAAAGTGACATGTTCAAAATCGATCCCACTGGGAATACCAATTGTCTGTCTGTAAAATGTCAAAAATACCTCCCAACACTAAACTTGTATGATATGCCATTTGATAGGGTTCCGCCTGAGAAATTTCATAGGTCCTAGTAATTAAATACATATACATGTAGAGGAACTCACAAGCTAAATAGTGAAAAGTGCCCAAAACAAACAAACAAAAACTTCAATATAGTTAATTCTCATACATGTATGTACATGTATATATGGTCTACCCCTAAATTACAGCATAATTTGAAGTTCTCAGTGCATGGTTTCTTGAAGGAAAATTGCAAAAGTTGTACCTGTCAGCAGTAAATCAAGCTATTATGGGAGCCTAGATCTGGGACACTAAGATAATCATATGTTTCCAATGCATATGCATTTTTCTCCAAGGTCTTTCTGGTGTCCAAACTGCCTTCAATCTGACCCATAAAAGTGTATATCATTTGTTACTTGTGAGTACACTGTAACCTTTTTCTAATAAACACTTCATGCAGGCAGATGAATTATTTCCCAACAATAACAGGCAAGTAATTAGTCAACTGGTTACAAAATATCTAAAAGAATGTTCAGGCATAACCTTTACAAGCTACACAAACAACTATTGATTGATTACTGAAGGCAGTAACTGAGTGATTATAAACTTGTGCTAACAAACCTTAATAACTGATAGATTGTAGCCTCCAACTGAAAGAAAAAGTGAAGCATTAATTCATTCATAAAATGGTGTACCTTGTGAAAATAGACCCCTCTAGTGTCTACGTAATACAGGGTGTCCGCTCTAAACAGGTTCTAATATACTGAGCAATAATAGTTAATTATTAACCCTTTTGTAACACAGTGTAACACAGTGAAAGATCAAAGACAGCTCATGTAGCACAGTGTCCAGTCAGTCAGTACATCAATCCCGCGGGGGGGGGGAGACTCCCATGTAAAGAGGACGGAGGTGCTTGTCTGAAATTTTGAAAAGAAGTTCCCCTAAAGAGGTACCAAGGTTCTGACTTGTTGGTGTGGCTTGGAATGTTTTTCACCCCTAAGATGAACCAATTCTAAAACATTATTTCCTGTCATTTTTTTGTGGCTAAATATCCTGAAAGGTACTGCAAAAGCTCTGGCTGTTGACCTTTTAAGGCTGAACACCCTAAGAGGTAGCAAAACTGCAATTTGTAACCTCTACAAGGCATAATGAGAACCCCTGTCCTTTTTATATGGGAGTCCCCCCAACCCCCAGACACCAGGCTGGAATAATCTACTTAGCTTTAAAACAACATCGCTGAACATTGTTAATGGGTCTGAGCTGAGCTTCTGGAAGTCAAAAGCCCTCGAAGTGTCCCCTTATTGCAGGTTTTGTGCAACAAAATGGCTTAATATTGGTGTCCACATTCGCTTAACAATGGTGTCTGCTGAATGTAGTGTTATTTTACAGTAAATGTGGGAAGAAAATTTAGGGACTCCATGTGTAATTAAAATATATATGGTGAACAAGACATTGAAAATAACTTACCACCCACAACATCATTTGGAGGAGCAGCAGTGTATTTTGAGAACTGCTGATCAGCATCATGGAGCTAAATAATATTAAGCAACAATCAGAATTAACATTGAAACGACATAATGCTTGTGAGGTCTAGAACCAAATAAATTTTTAAGTGAGATTTGATGACCAAGGATAGCACAGAATGTTTGTCCACAAGCTTACAAAGCTTATCTGAAACTACATGACTGTTTCCCAGTTGCCTAAATAGTACTTGGAAACATTTGTTGCACTATTTGATGTAGAATGTTACAGTGCATGGAACCCTATTAATCCGGTCACTAACAGGCCACAAAAATCTGGCCGTATTGACAGGGTGGTCGTATAAAAAGGGTTCTTGAAATAAGAAAATGACTGACTGAGCTTTTCTGTGGGCCAGAATAAAGTGGCTGTATTAACAGGGTGATTGTAAGGCGGTGTTCCACTTTATATAATTGCAATGTACACTTGTCTGCATCAAGTACCAGCAATTGGCACAAACAAAATGCACAGTGATGAAAACATACATGTATGTAAGTTAACAATCATGGCAAAAATGAATGTGTTGTTCCAGAAAATATCCATACCTGGCGGTTATTTAGTTTTAACAGCCTCCCCCCCACCGCCACCCCCCCAACCTGCCAAGATACTCCCGGTTATGCTTCATACTTTTCTTTGAACACTTTGGTTTATGAAATCTCCCTACCCCTTGGAATTTCTTTCTTGGGGTGAGAGAAGAAATTTTCTGGCACTGCACATGTATGTACAATGCATGAGTAGGAATTAACTTTACATACTAATAAGTATGTATACACACTGTATGTACATGTGTATATAATAAAGTCAATTAATGATATTATTGTCATTTACTTTATTTAAAGATGATTTCCAGTCTGTACTGTGCAGTCTCAGAACCATATTGTTTATAAACATAAAAATCAATAGAATGCGAATCGATGTTATTCGTTACGAACCACATACCTTACCTTTGAAATTCTTTTTCCAACTGCTTCATTGATTTTTACAGCTGCAAAGTTGTTTCATCAAGAGATAAGAGAACAAACGAAACATGAAGCATCCATGATGGTGGTTGACATGAAACCTTGAATTTACTTCATGTAAGTAGTTGCAAAATGTTCGCATTTTGTGACGTCATGCATGAAACAAAACAAAAAAACATAAACAAACTCTTGAGAGTACGCAGTACGGACTGGAAATCATCTTTAAGATCATAACCAGGGCAGATTGCTCAATAAATTTTCTTACTGGAGCCTGGTGATGTTTGACAGGTGATGGTTGAAGTGTAAGCTCAGCTGCTGGCTGTAAGAGAAATTCACACAATAAAATAAGCCAGCTAATAAAATAACAAAATTAGGAACATTTCAGACCTCATACAATTTTAGGGTTAGGGTTAAAGTCAATAAAATTAAACTTCACTTCCAAGCGTCTAAAAGTTTTCCATGACCATAGTCATTCTCATGAGCTACCGGTATATGTATAATGAAAATAAGTTGAAAAGCATTCTGCTTACAGGTCTACATGTATGTTCATGGGGCAGCTGGGGTGTTAGCATTACACTATAAGTGAAGAATCACACATTCTTACTGGTATGAGTCCACGCTCTATTAAGCTCAGAATTCCCTTCTGAGCATCTTCCTCTGTTATTGGAGGAGGAGTACGCTAAAAGAACAATCATTCAATTTTAGCATATTATTACTAAAACAGATAGCACATGGAGAGGGGCTCTATACATTGATAGTAAATATTTCTGCAGCAGACCCACCACAAAAAATAATAAGTATTGGTCTTCATTTGGGTATACACTGTATTTAACACATTTTTGTGACTGAAAGGGCCCTAATGAAAACCACCATGGCGAGTTGGGTAATCCCTCGTTAATATTTTTTATTAGTATTTATTTATTGAATTGGCAGACCTCTACAATTTTCTTTACAGTCAAGAATGTGGAATTGGTGATCTCCTGGACTCTGCAAGTGATTGTACATGTAGATTGATGGCAATTGCTTAAATTACAGGAGGCATCATGATTATTAAATGTCCGCGTGTGTGCAATGTAAATAAGAAAACTTGTGCTTTTAACATTACTTTCAATCTAGTGAAAATGGCTGTATGACTTACTGAAGGGTCTATTTTGTTAGCTCTGGGCAGAGTGCTTAGTGGGTCAATAGTGGAACCCATGACAACTTTACCAGGAACCTGAAACACAAAAGTAAAAGCCACTGAATTTTACTTCAACAAAGGTAAGAGATATTACTACAGGATATACATTGTATAAGAGCAAAAAGCACAAAATCACACACTAAAAGAGTTCAAATACATGTACATGTATGTTTTGAACACTGTTAATAATATTTCCAAGCTTTAATTTCAGAAGATTCAATCCAGTTAGCTACAGGCAAACCTCGGTGATTCTGAATCATGTTAGGACTCACACGAAAGAGTAAATTCTGAAATGGTCTGAAAATTACTACATGTACGTTACTCAGTTCAACTTCCAGACCTGTGCAGCTTGCTCGTGTTTGTCCACAATGTGTGGAAGAGCAACACCATATCTTTCACTCAAGATGTGCCTTGCTGTTGGATGGGCTGGGTTACTAAGAATCTTTAAATTTCTGAGATCTCTAGCCTAAAAGAACAAATAATAAATTATAAAGTTCTAACAGATGAATTATTTATTATGTGCATGCCCTAATTGCATACATGTAATGTCAGTTTACATTACATCTGGGTGATAAGTATATCTTACTAGCCAAGCTACATGTACATGTAACTACACCTATACTTACTTTATTGACCAATTATCATTTAATACATGTTCAAGCATGCACATTATATTGGTAAGTGTTCATTTTTGATCTTCTGCACTTAACCTGCCAAATATTTTCCTGTCTGGACCCACTCAATGCTGTCAGTTACATGTAATAATCACTTTCAAAACTTGCCCTTAGCGAGTTTACATGTAATTTAACTGAAAAAAATATGAATATTTAGAATTGCATGCCTGAAATGAAGTCCAGTTTATTGATGTGTAGGGGACCAGATGGCTTTTCACATGTGACATCAACAAGACGGTGCCGCACCCAGTTCTAAGATACATGTAAACACTTTCTGATAAGAAATGTTAGACTTGTAAACAGTCTACATTTACCTGTTGTCCTGGTGCAGGAGCATTGGGTCCTGGCTTATTCCCTTCCTTTGCAATTGCCAGTGGCTCCAAGAGACTCTTGAAACTATAATTGACAGATTGACATCAATTTACCTCTTTATTTTATAAATGTACGAAATACAATTATAGTAAATGGGGCTCCCATTTGCTGTCTAGACCCATGATTGATGAGTTACCCCCTCTTTGACCGACCATGCATCCCTCCTTTCTTAAAAATTAATGCTGATTTTTACCTACATTATAAATTATATGGATCTCAGTTCCCAAAGTTTCCATGACATTGAAACTTACATATAAGATTTGTTTTTACCTGAGTACTTGTTTTTTTAGGATAGAGTACAAGTCTAGCCTCTAGAAATTGCCAATACCCATTTTTCTAAACTATGTTGTGGGTGATTAATGTTCACAAAGTGATACTCTTCTTGTTCAAATCATTAAGTAAACCATATCAGGTACGTCACCGTAGTTATGTATTTCAGTCACAAGAGTTGTTATAAGTAATTTGTGCATGTAGCTGTATCATTGATATACAGTGTACCGACTGACCTGGCTTTTTGTGCAGAAGCACTTTTTTGGAATGCTACTAAACCGTGATCCCTGTAAGGAAAAAATATCATTTACCATTATTCAAAACAAAAGGCTGATGATAAATTTCACTATGTTTAAAGAGGTCTTTGGTTCTTTGTACACAGTAGCTCACAATTTCTATTTTCACCGTGCATGTCTTTTTAATGTATGTTCTGGACAACTTTCTTTATGAAATGTGCATATGTAACATGTTTAGGATTGCAAGCTAAAATTTGATTGCTGCCTCAGACAGTGCAACAAAACATGGGTGTTATTCTGTTCTTATAACGTACACTAAGCCGGCCTACTGTAGTTTTCAAGTCAGATCACTATATTTGGAACCTCTTGTAAGCAACCACCTCTCATGTACATGTGCACTGTATGTAACCACAACCACTTTTAGAGCTAAGAGTTTGAAATTTTCTTTTGTTTTTAACCCCCCAAAGGCAACCTCTTGACAGATAAACAGAGCGGACATTGGACAATAAGGTGTTGTCAAACTTAAAGCTAGCAATCCAATCATTATTAGTTCATGCTCAGTTCCTCCTAATGCTTAGACAACATTAAACATTCAATTTGTAACTATCCTGAGACTTGTTCCATTCACCTTATTACAATATAAAAGGTGCATAGTTTATCAGAAGCAAGCCATGATACTCTAATTAAATATACTTTGGAAAACTTAACTACTTTTGTGGCTACTAAAAGTTATTACATGGGTTTAAATTACATGGGTTTAAATGGGCATTGATGCATAGGATAAGTCTCTCCAGTACCATATGCTAATGAGGCAAAATTTTGACCCAATATGGTCTCAAGTGACTAGTCCTCCTGTAAGCGACCACCATGGCTTGACATTTTGGGTGGTCGCTTATGGGAGGTTCAACTATATACATGTATAAATACCAGTTGGTGGTGTAATCAGAAACATTGGCCACAAATCAACATTCATACCCTTTAGCAACTTGTTTTTTCTTAGTTGAGCCAGTCACAGGTCCCTCAAGTGACGGCAAAGTCAGGACACTGTTATTGGTTGAGTGGATGATTTGTTCTGCTTTGTCCTAGGGTACATAAATGTACAAATAGAAGTTCAGTGGTTATAATACTGTGCATAAACACATAATTATGCAGTGAAAATAAACTGCAATTATATTTACATTCAAATCAATTACTGACCCTAACACTTTGTTCTGTTCTTTCAATGGCACTTTCCAGCGTCCTAAGATCAATGACCTCAGTGGTAACCCCATGAGAAATAATTTGTTCTTTAAGATGGCGCAAATCATCTTGAACCTTAAAGAGAGTTATAACACAGTTAGGCATTTGAACATACCACTGAAAGCAATGTACAGTGAGATCTGTATTAAGTGGACACATTTGGGACACTCAGTAGTGTCCGCTTAATACAGGGTGTCTGCTCTAAACAGGTTCTAATATATTGTGCAATAATAATCAATTATTAAATAAACCCTTTTGTAACAAAGTGTAAGATCGAAGACTGCTCATAGCACAATGTACAGTCAGTCAAATATACATCAATCTAGAATAATTTACTTGGCTTTACATGTCAAACAACATCGTTGAGCAATGTTTAAGGAGTCTGAGCTAAGCTTTTAGAGATAAAAAACCCTTGAAGTGTCTGCCTATAATTTTGCAGGTTTTGTGCAACAAAGTGACTTAATATTGGTGTCCGCATCTGCTTAACAGAGATATCTGCTGAATGTAGGTTTCTTTTACAGTAAATGTGGGAAGAAAATTTAGGGACTCAAGCTGGTGCCCACTTACAGTGTAATAGAGGATGTCCATATGGGGTCCACTTAATAGAGTTTTAACACTGTATTCTACTTGTGCATACCAAACAAAGTATTGTGTATCTTGGGTATATAGGGAAGAGGACATTACAGCAAGGGGTGGGAAGACAAAGAGTTTCAAAAAGCAGCATGGGTCTGGTTAAGGGGCAAGAGAAAGGTTTCAAAGACCGGAGGGATGAGTCTGGGAGCAATAACTTATTGGAGTAACATATATGAGCTAGTTTGCAATGATTGCTTGCATGGCCTAGTGGAGATGAAGGTGGACTACAAAGTCAGAGAAAAGGTGTTCAAATCTAGGTGAGTACAAAATAAAAATCTCAGGGGTAAGGTTAGGGGGTTTGATATGGAATCCTGGGTAAGAAACTGAGGGAGGAGGGGATGGTGTGCATGTCATTCTTTCTAAGAACCCCCCCCCCCAACCCAAAAACAAAAATGGTCTGAGAAATACTCCTAGGTTGAAAGAAGTCAATCTAAAAGGAAATCATTCTGACCTAAAATACATTTTAAACTACAACATATATATTATCCAACAACACTCAAGTGAGTGTCGGCCGATAAACTATACATGTATATCAGTCTTAAGAATATTTCACTTCAAATTAATTAGCACTGTTAAGTAATAATTAAATTAACAATATTGCACTTCCAATGTGTTCGAACACAAAAATGCCGCTAGCGAGTTTGCAGAGTAGGAACGGTGCCGCACATAAACAAATGTTGGTTCGCGTTGTACAATAGAGGCCAGCAGCTGTTTTTATCATCAGTTTCTTTTGCTTTTCATGTAAAATGTAGCTATGACCATGGAGATTTTACAATTTTATGCAACCGTGTTAGACTTTGGCATGAATTCCTTTCTCCTGTTAAATTCACTTTGCTCAAAACGTATTTTAATCAAAATGTGAAACAACTGCAGAACATCTTGGACTAAATGATGGCTCTCTCGTCGACTTGAAACGCACGTTAAAAATCATTTATTGAGATCAAGTTACCTCCTATGGTTATGTAATTCCTTTAAAAGTCCCTACAAGCTGCAAGAAATTCACTTGTAGGGAAGTTAACGACCCAAACCTAACCAAAAAGTTCAAAGTCATAAACAGAAGTCAGCGACTTTATCCACACTGGTCCACACGCACTCCTTACCTTCACAAGAATTTCGCCGATATCGGTTGGTCCAGGCTCAATATCTGTCAAAGAAAACATTTTCAATGCGACGGCATCTGTAAAGCAGATCAATTCGTAGTTTTGTACGTTCAAGAAGTTTAAAAACCCGCCATTTCAACGAAGATTGCTCTTTAGCGTCGAATTCTCTAAGCAACCATGTTGTAAATAATTCAAAGCAACAAAGAACACGCAATGTAGTAGGCCAGCGGTATACACCCCTATCAGGTTGATTGTCATGTAATGTGAAAACCATTATGGCGGACAATATCAGTCGAGTCTTGGTGGTGAGCTGTAGTTCGTTTCTTTCCTCTAAAGATGTTATCACTGGTACGAAAATCTATTTCCTGTTAATTTGAGAACTTTTATTTACCATCTAATGCTAGTATGTGTATTTATTGGTAGTTCAAATACAATATAATACAATACAATAACCTTTATTTCTCCTCGAATTTAAAAACAGCAAAATTGCTAAAATCTTCGTGAAAATTAATAAATAAAATAAGATGGATATGGAATTATAAAATAATTATATAAATTTACAATATGTACAATTACGTAGTTAATGCAGTGGCATCAAACCATTTACAACTATCTTCAGAAGGGACAGCAGTCAGTGTCAAATTCTAAATTACGAATAGTCGAGTTGAAAGCTGCAATTGTTGGTAGTGACCTGGTAGTATTGGGGAGGGAGGTCCATAGTTCACTTCCATAGTAAGGTAGAGAGTGCAGGCCATATCTATTGGTATTAACACGAGGGATAACAAGAGAATGTTTATCATTAGTACGTTTTTTCTGTTTTCTTTTTTTGACTGAAGACACTGAACCCCAAAGAGCTGAAGAGATCTTGAGCTAAAATTTGCAGCATGATTGAATTTTAAGAACAATCTCGTTCTCGAAGTTTATATGTATTTCCTTTTCAAAGAAATGTGCAAACCAGACTGCCCAACACCTAAAGAGCTGTCAGACACTGGCGGTTTGAGTTCATACCTGTGGAAAATTGAAAACAAATATTACACAGCTGATGTTCATCTTTGTGCCTGCTCCGCGAGCTCTCTCCCGTCCCAATGCGAATTTGCTTCAAATATTAACTTCCAAAGTGTCATTATTACATTTGATCAAAAAGAGGTAAGTCTCAACCATTGTAGTGACTCAGTTGTACATCTAGATACACAAACATCATTATCATCCATGGAAGCACTAAAAGATCAGGTCCATGAGCCGCTCAATTAGAAACTGAAAAATTTTCAGAATATCTCCTGGTCAACATGCTTTATGCTGTAATATGATAGATCTTACACGGTATAGAAGATATTCCAGGGAGCATAAAAAGCTGTGACCTCATATTCTACCTGAGCACCAGAGTATCACAAAAACAAGTGCAGTCAACTCTCGTTATGGTGGACCCCTCGAGACTGTCATTTAGTGTCTGTTGTAAGGGGAGTCTGTAATTATGGGCTGTGATGAAAGTGCCCCAATTTTTTGGTTGTGAAGTTTCAAGTTTCTTTTAATTTGTAGTATACATTTATTGTGATACATAATCAACAAATGTAAGTCAAAATAGTGTACCAAATATTAAACATTCCAAGACTTAGAGTGATGTTCTTTAAACTTGGCACCAGAAAATTTACGTCACAAAAGAAACAAAATGACACCTGTTGTGCCATTGCCATGACAACAGTTTTGCTGCTGGTCCTGTTCTAATTAAGACTGAAATTCCCAGTTTTTGTCTTAAACTCTAAAACAAGGATCATCCACTCCCAACAATCTAATTTGGAGAGTTAAGACAATATGGGAACCATGTCTGTTCCAAGCAGGACCCTCTGTCCTACTTTAAAGGGTTGTAAATGGGGATATCAGGTTTTTGACAGAAAGAGACTGGAGCCAAGAGTGTTGCCATGGCAATGGCATAATGAGTGTTATTTTGTTTCTTTTGTGATGTAAATTTCTGGTGCCAAGTTTTATCACTCTTATATTTCTAGAGATACTCCTGTAATTCAGCGTTTTACTGTTTTAGTGGAACTAATTATGACATCATCACTTTCCTCATTTGTATAATACAGAAACAGAAATATCTTTTAAACAAAGGACAAGATTCCTGAGAGGAAAATGCCATTCTTCTTTATTTGATTAGCCTTTCAAATGAGTAGCAATTGTTTTTTTACTTCATTGGCTCTTTAAATTTAGCAATTTCATTTACATTAGAAACATTGCTATAACTTAACCTTTAATACCAGAGAATAGGGAGTTGCCCCTGTCATGACTGACGTGTCATAGCAGTGGCACTAAGGTAACAGGGAGTTCTACATGTGTGAGTTCAAATTCTATTTGCACTTTTCAGAGATCAAGTTTCAAAGAAGTAACATCATGGCTGCCATATATTGAGACACAGGATCCATCTGTTTTATTACTGCTTAACTCTGGCAAAGGAGGCAACAATAAAGGTAAACCTGTTAAACTGACATATGCACACTTTTATATTTTATTGTTTTGTGCAAGCCTCTGTCATTTTTCTTGTTTTAAAGAATGACAATTATTGTATGATCATATGATGCTCTCAATCTACAAATAGTGCCTCAAACATCATGGAGATTCAAGAAAGAGGGAATTTTATGCACTCTTATCTACATTGTACCACCCTTGGAAATAACCATGCTACTTAAGGACGTTCGCACGAAAAATTTTCCAACATTGATTTTTTTCTGAGACTTTTACGGCTGTCAGATTATGAGTTAGTTATGTCAGAAATGGAAAAAAAATGAGGGGTCACCAACTTCATTTTGGAGAGAACATGCCTGGAAAAATACCCGAAATCCAAAAAAATTGGGCTTCATTAGCGGATAAGGCCACAGTGTCTGTAAGCCCAAAAATATTGCAATTAGATCTTTGAAGTGGACCTATTAAGTGAATTTAGTCAACTCGTGAGGTTCCTAATCCTTAAAGAACAAGTTTACATTTAGCGACCATAGTTTCACGCACCTTGCAGCCACAAGATGGCAGGATTCGATGTCCTGTGGACAGAAATCTTGAAATTTTTTTAACTTCCCACATTTATTTTTTGTTCATTTTTGGACAATGTGGAGATAATAATTGTAAATAAAATCTGTTTCTGGAAAGAAAAGTAGGGGTCACCGAATGTCCAAGATCGTTAAATCCAGGCAAAGCTATAGCAATGGCCATCTGCCCTATCATTGCTTATTTTATTACTTAGTGTGCGCTCTCATGCATGATGTGGTGTGTTAATTTGCGTGCGCAGTAAGGATGCGCAGAAACAATTAGCATGAACGTCTTTAAGACCCTGAATCAGGCTGAAGTTTCACTCAACCACCAATTATCTCCCTTTTAATGTGACAAGAATTGCAGCAACTTTTTAATCAAAAATTCTCTCAAATCTGATGAACAACCAGGTACTTAAAAGTTGGCACTCACAATTTAACACTTGATTTCACATATTTCTTCTGAATTCACATCTTTCAATATAATCTATAGTGTAACTTACAAAATGCTTTTCATTGCATTGGTGAGATGGGACGAATATTAGGACATTGTGTCTGCAATCATTTAAGAGAAGTGAAAAGAATGACAGAGAACTCGCCTCCAAACATGTTAATCTGCTCGCCCATTCTTCAACATGAATGATTTTGTTTGGCAAGGCAACACTGAATGTCATAAAATTCAGAACAAAAATTTAGCTTTCAACCAGGGACCTTGCGTCCCCATGGGATCAATTAACATTTTTCATTTAACTAATATTTAACTGCATTTTCATTGCCATACTTTCTTCAAATAATTTTATAGTGTAGCTCTGCAACCCACTATATAAACACACATACAACCCACAATCTCCCACATTTCTTTGTGGCTAACACTCGAACCGCCACCCTTGCTAACTTGGTTTGGTGGTAAATTTAACTTTGTCAATTTCAAGGTGGTAAGTAGATAAGTGTATGATGATTACTTGGATAATGGGCGGTAGTCCACCTTATAAAATAATATCCCTGACATTAGCTTTCAAAAGTGTTTACAGACCTTCAACAGGAAAGCAAAAATCTTTAGAAACATTTGGCTGATCTTGATAATAGGTTTTTAAAAATAAGCATTGTTGGTGGAACATTTGTCAGTTCTCAAATTTTCTTTCCTCTTTATAGCATTTCATTTGTGCAACAAAATAAAAAAGTGTAATTGTTGTAATTTTAGGATTGTCCAAAGCAGAGGTGGTTAAGTGGTGTTTGGATAACTCATTTGAGCTTATTGAAATGATGCCTGAGGAGGAGGAGGAAGATGGTGAAGAAGGTATAATTTATTGTATTTGATTAAGAAATATTGTATAATTAGCAAAAAATAAATAATAAGTTATTATGATGGATGATAGTGTGCTTCCCACATGTTGGGCTTTTAAAAGATGCTTCAGTGATACTGTTTAGTACAGCACACTTATACAATGCAGTCATTTGACTATCAACAGCTACCAGGATTCATTTTATTTCTAGTTTTTTAAAACCATATTTACAGTTTACAGTTAATAATAATTGCCCTACTTAGCATGAGAAAAAGAAAGATTGTAATCTTCAGGGAGTGAAATGATAAAGAAAGCACTAAAAATTCTAAAATATAGTGTGATTAAAACAATAGAATAAAAATATGGAAATAAACTGAATAATTTTGTACACTGTAGATGATTTTCGTGAGAAGACTGGGATTGAAAGAGTAGTTGAAGCTCTTCAGTGTGCAGAGTGGCCAAACATGAAAATGAAGGGTACGTTGAAACTAACATTAAAAGAAATGATGAGTGATTTGATTAATATGTACTTATTCCCAGTGATTTTGAACAAACACTTTCTACCAATGTTTTAGTCTAAGATATCAGGCAAAGACAGAAAAACATTACTGACTTAATTAAACTGTTTCTTTGACTGGAACACAGATAAATATGATTGCGAGAATAATTTACCTCTAATTATCTGCTCGCACTTTATGCTCCACTATGTAAATGAACTCCAGAGCAGTGTAGAGCAAAGAATGGTAGACTGGAGCCAGGCCTTTTTGCTCATCACGCCTCTTTTAGTAATTATTTTTAACACAAAGCTGCCACTAGTCATGCGACCATGTCATCTCTACATTCTGTATGCATTTCAAAGCACACACACATTCACGTTTGCCTATGGTTATAAATTAAATAAATAAATACTAAAACAGTTTTCCACGCTTGCAGAGAATCGAAGTCGTACAGGTCCAAAAGGTTCTAAAGATGACCAAGGGGCTAGTGCTTCCCTTAACAATGAAGAAAAACAGAGCGCTGAACATGGCGCGTCAAAGAATACAGCAGGTTACTAACAAAGATTTTTTGCTCATGTATGACAAGTTTCCACGTGCGTACCTCTCTACACAGTTGAAACTTGACAATTTACGCTGGAGAAAGATTGATGAGAATATGCGAGGGAAGTCAAAATAAGAGAGCAAAACCATTTTATATTTTAAGGAATCAAGGATATTTTTTGGGTTTATTTGACAGAACTAAGGATATCTCTACTATTAACTAGAGCTAGACGGGTTTCGTATAAACCGACCATATCCCAGACATGACATCTGTTCAAAGCAATGCAAACATTCCTTCAGTGCGGCTAAGTTTCTTTATTTTTCCCAGTCTTTCCTCTGCCAACTGACGATCTGGAATTACTTAGCAGCCTAGCAAGCGATGGAACGGAGAATGAATCATTCGAGGAATTATTTCAAAAACTCGCTGTAATGAAAGGTTCGTATTTTTGGTATTTGTTAAAATAATATATTATTTAACAAGTAGAAAACATGTACCGTGTTTCTATCAGCGTTCTATCACGAATGCCGTTCTCTGATTGGCAACGCTACTCACTATCTATTCTGTGATAAATAGTGAGTAGCGTAGCAGTGTGCCCTTGTTAACAAAATGGCGGCCGCTTCTTGGCGTTTTCGAAGTATCTGTGAAGAGGATTTAGATAAAGTTTTGAACGACTAGGGACACTAGTAGATTTATACTAAAACAGTTAGATTATTCGCTCTCGATTTCTATGCATGATAGTTGACTCGGGCTGCGCCTTCGTCAACTATCACGCGATAGAAATCGAGAGTAATAATCTAATTGTTTAATAGAAAGTTTGGGAGAACGAGAAATGCTGTGAAACCACGAGTCGACAGGCGAGTGTTTCCTCAGCATTTCTAGCATTTCTCAAGCTTTTCTCGTGTTGTCTCGACAACCCACGTGGTTTATTTCACCGGTAAACCCATGGAAGAAAGCTTAAATACAAACTCGATTTTAGATCAATCAGCGCGCGTATTTTTTTTTTTTTGGGGGGGGGGGCTATTTTCTAACAAATGATAAAGAACACGAGAGTGTTTAGCAATTTTTAAACCTTTTCAGAACGCGCATCATCTCTTCCAGCCAGCGAAAGAAAAGATTACGCGGAAAAGGTAATTTGATTTACCTAAATTGAATGTTATTTTCAACATGCTTATCCCAGGACTTATTAGTACTGCTGCTATTGGTTTTCGCTATACATACGTTTTTACTGTAATTTTTGTCGTCGAACTTTTTGTTTCCGTCTGTCTTTCCAGTGTTGCTCTGTTTTTCTTCTTTTTGTTTGTTTGTCGTTTTCATTGTGTTTTTTGTATCAGTATATTTTTGCTTCCAAGTTAATGTGCCCCTATGATCAAATTCTCGATATCCATTTTTTTTACATTTTCGTACACAATAGGTCTTTCCTGCATATCTTGCCAAATTTCAATCTAATACGAACATTAGAACTCACGTTTTTTGGACCTTTATTTCCGAGAATTTACGGCCGCCATTAATTTTCCTTGTTCCAAGTCTTGGTTGAAGGGTTTCTTGGTTGAGAATTTGAGAAAATGACGTCATCTTCTCAAAAATACCACAAGGGTTGAAATTATAATAACAATTAGTACTGTAATTCGCATAGAGAATAACAAAACCTTTGGCTCTTATATTCGTGCAATTTTCTACACTTATTGTTATTATAATTTCAACCCGTGTGGTATTTTTGAGAAAATGACGTCATTTTCTTAAATTCTCAACCAAGACTAGGGACAAGGAAAATTAATGGCGGCCGTAAATTCTCGGAAATAGAGATCCAAAAAACGTGAGTTCTAATGCTCGTAAAAGATTGAAATTTGGCAATATATCTAAGAAAGACCTATTGTAATCGAAATCCACACATCTAAGAATTCGCCCTTTTACTTGCGATTCGCTGAAAACAAACGCACATAAACAAGCTAAATATACGGAGCAGGAAGCCAAAACGAGATACAAATAAAACACGCAAAAAAGACGGAAAATAACGAAACTTACAAGATTTGTGTGGCGACTACGACGACTAAAACATAATGACAACGGCAACTAGAAAACTAACAGCAGAAGAAGCTACACCAAACAATAGAAACAACGATTGATAAAATATGCACGAAAATATGAAACGTTGCGTGACCGAAAATAACTGGCGAAACTAATTAGAAATAGAGGATATTACACGGTGGCGAGAAGATATAAATTTTATGTTCGAGTGGCAAGAACAATATCTCACTCGTTTGCTTCGCTCACTCGTGAGATATCGTTCTTGCCACGAGAACATAAAATTCATATCTTCGAGCNCATACGGAAAATACGCCACTCGGGTCCCGGATGAAGTGGCGTATGGAATCTACGAGTGGTTTAGTTCCCAGTAAAACACTCTTCTCCATATAATAATAACAAATATACACGGAATAATTGAAAAACAGAAAACAATGGACAAAAAAAAACGCGAAGGCAAAACAAAATTGAGGCGCCGTGACTACACCTATAGTGTACGAAAATGTTAAAAAAATGGATATCGAGAATTTGATCATAGGGGCACATTAGTTTGTTTCTCCTTTTCCACATTTTTATTCCTATAAACATAGTTCATAAACCTCCTTTAATCAGCCTTTTGAATCACCAGTTCTCTGATCTATTAGTATGTTTCTTTCATTAACTACAGGTTGCAATTGCATTTTGGCGCGCCTTGGGAGGAAGTGAAGAAGAAATTGCTGGGTTAGGCGAGGACGATGAAGCCTAATTAACAAGCCTACTGCTCCAACGTCCAAGATTAACAACAAATAGTTTAAAGAAGATTTGCGAACCAGGCAGATGGAGTTCTAGATGGGCGCACAAACGTTGAAGGGATATCACGACAGAGTTATACCAGGTCTGCTGCTTATCACCTTGTTCTCGTTGAAGAGTCTAAATGTTGCTGTGCAATATCAACTTTTACACTATTCTTTCCTGAGGCTATGTCTGCCTGCACAGCTATCCGGCTGTGTTTTTTTCAGTTAATTGATAATTTACTCCGACAAGACTTTTATGACTTTTATTCCTCGTTATTCACGAACACGCAGTAAAGTACATCAGGAGAACGCATATGAAACAGTAACTTGTTGAACGAAAGACTTGCAATAAATATTATACGTGTGATATATCTGTAATCCCAAAAAGTCAGACACAAATAATTAACTCCAGCGACGACATCCTTCGACTTGAGATGTTTCTGTGCAATGTTAACTTAATTTGCACGATTTCTTCTTAACGCTGCCTGCACGGCTATCGGTTGTTCGGTTTATGGATTGTGTTTACAATTAGCTCTTGGATATTACATCCTCTTATTGTAGGTTCCTTGTTATACAGTTTTTTTCTGCTGCAGAGTGTTGTTCAGAATTCGCTTACAAGATAAGGCACAGGAGCTCAGAGTTCGAGCTTCTTGTTTTAAATTCCATTGATATTCTCTGCTGAGAAGACGGGTATTTAATGAGATGCTGGTCTGTGCGTTGTGGGACGAACATACAAACCACAAGAGCTCTTGTCTGTTCAGAAACCTTATGCACATTTGACGATTGCACTTTTTCTTATTTTTTGTCTCGCATCGTTTGTTAGACGCAGATTCCTTCTGAAACACAGCTGTCAAATGTGCCAAATGTAAGCTCTCTTTGAAATTAGCTATTCAAATATTATTATAAACTCGAGTCTTAGCGGGGATATTCTTGACTAGATTCACGAATTAACTATTAAGGAAAGGTAAGTTGATCGAGCGATTGTGACTTTTTTTTTTTTACGACTCATTACAAGCTATAGCCGTCTAGCTGTCCACGGTTGCATTTGCATCTTGGCTTTCAATTTCTACACTGTAATGTCGTTGAGTACCGGGGTTGAGTATCGACAGTATCAGCCTTGCTTAGTGGTTGTTGATTGAGTTCTTAGTACCGTTCAACTTTCTTTTGTATCAGTTATTCGTTATTGTACTACTCTGTCTGTTTTTTTCTGGTAATGTTTATTTATCATGCCCAAACTAAATCTAGGCTGCTGATGGGTCGAACTATGTACCCATCGTTGTTGTATTCCAAAAAAGTCTTCATCACTTTGGCAGCCATTTTGTTAACAATGGGCAGGCAAATGTCGCCCCTCTCAAGGATTATCCTGGTCAACGGAATTGCCACGGATACGGGTAACCAGGATACGACCCATCGCTGACCGAGCGAGAGCACTTTTTCCCCAACTAGCTGCTACAACTCGCTCATAGCTACGCATTCACAAGTTTGAAAGGACTGTAATCGCGTAATCAGTATGAAGTACCCCAGCGTGATTCCGAGGGCAACCCTTAAAACTGGAATCCGAACTTATTGGAATTGAGAACGACGACAGAAGTAATTCACTTCAGCAATGTCCAATCACAGGTTACCCAAGCTCGTAAATGAGCGTCCCTTGTACAGACATAAGTAGTCAGGTTAGGCAACAGTCGAAATATGAGTATTTGTATGGAAAAACGGTTACATTGTTAAGCCTAAAAAATACGAAGGAATGCGAATAAAAATGTATACCTACTTCGCTTCAGTTGTGTGTTTCCGTGGTTTCCGTGAGGTTTTTAGGCCGATTTAGGATTCCGGATTCCAGATTTCAAGTTTCAGGGTTGCCCTGATTCTAAAGGGTCACACAACAGCTGTTTTTTTTGCGTGTTATTACGTCATTACTGAAAAGCACGTGTTTCCTGAGTCACGCAATTTCCGCAAACAAACGCATAGTACAAACTGCTTTACAGAGACGCTGAAGCTCCTACATGTACTCCGAATCCTTTGATGGACTAGAGCGAGATTGTTGTGATCGATGATTAACTTTTCTCAAAAATATTTGGCTTGGTCGAAGGAAGAGACGTCGCTGAGTTGTACCTGCATCAAACCAGAGGTTCAGTTTGCCTGGTGAAATAATTCCGCAATCTGAGTGATACTGGCATTTCACTACACCACGAAGTTAAGTTTGCAGAGGAGAATTCTAATTTTTCTAGAGAAGTCGATCAAAAAAGTTAGAGACGAAGTTATCGCTGTAATCGTTGATTAACATTGATTAGAGAAGTAAATAGCTATTAGGCTATTACGTTGCTGTTATTGAAGATGAAAGATGCTTCAAGTAAGAACAACCTTATCAGCTCGGACGACGAGAATGAAAACATCGACGGAAATCAGGTACGAGCATGTGGTCAATTAATTTTCAACTGTAAATACGCTGTTTGTCAAGGGAGGTTTGCGGTGATCTGTACGATGTATTCATGATTAATGTAGTGTCGGTAGAGTGGCTGATGAGCCGTAGTGATTCGCGTTTGAGTTCTTGAAATGCACTTCATGAAACAAAAGGTATTCAAAATAATTGTCTTAGGACCTAGGACTTAAGAATGATAATACCACCCCCAGTTTTGTAGACACGAAATGATTAAGGCAACGCTTAGTTGAAACAAGGTATTGGTGCACCTTTCGAGCTGCATGTGTGACGAGAATCCGATATTGTTTATTATAATTGTATTGTTACAGATGACAGCACAAGAAGCCAAGACGTCATGGATTCACCGGACATTCAGAAAAAGAACATGCCATTGGTTTATTCCGTCAGATAACAACGAGTTCAAGTAAGACCTAAACTATTATACGTCATCATAATACAGTGAAGTGAAAAATTCTTGAGACGTCTCTAACAATTCTCAACACGCAAATCGAAATTATAAGGACAAAGTTGCTAAAAATATGTTTCTTAATTAATTTCTTGTGTAATTTCGTGAGTCGATCTCAACTGCAGAATTAGCCTGCGTAGCAAGCGTTTCTGTGGGGTTCGGGAGCAAAGAATTACAGCGCNTTTTTTTTATCATCATCTCGTATCCAGTAGTCTATCCAGCAAAGGAGAATTGAATAACTGTTTATAAATTCTTCGGTCGACTGAGTAATGTGGACATTTCAGTTTTATTTAAACGAAGTGAGTGTCGCGCCTTTGTTCCATTTTTGAGTTCTGAAGTACCGTAAAATCCCACGTTAAGTTCCCCGGTTATAAGCCCCCCCCCCCCGGATATAAGCCCTTCTATTTGTTAACAAAGATATTATTCCAGATATAAGCCCGTCCCCCTCCCCTCCCCCTCCAGATATAAGCTCATGTAATGTATAAGTGCGTTCCTTTGGCGTTTCTTTACCAACATCAAAATTTTTAGATTAATCGATAGTTATAGGCTAATAGGGTGATAGGGTAGTAATAGGGTAAATAGTGTTATAGCTCTAAATGTAATGGTATGTATGTATGCTTTAAGGCGGGGGTAAAAATGAAAAAAGGCCCTTTTTTCAAACAAGTGCAACTTCATAACTATAGTTCAGAACCATATAAACCTATATAACAGAAAAAAGCTTAGGAATCGCTGACACAAAATATTACATATATTTCGCCCTAAACTAATTTGTTATTTGACACCAGATCAATATGTTAAACACATCCTGTGAAAAACCTAAGCGTACTTGAGAAAAGATACCTGCTTGTAGATTTCATGGAATCAAGGGATTTTAGTGTCAAAACAAAGTACTGGGGTCACTCTCTTAGATGAGCAGAGGAAATTTGGGAGCCACTAAAATTATGGACACAATTCCAGTTCAAAGTTCACCAAGATTTCTCAGTGACATATTCCTCAATAACCTGTGCAAAATTCAACTTATGGAGAAACGGTCCGCTCATCCAGCTCACCTCAATGAGAGGATACAGCCCTGAAAATGTCAGATCAATTGGACAAATCCTTCTCAAAATATCTCTTCTCAAAGGTAAAAATAAGTTGTTTTGAGAAAACGGGCTCTGAACTTACAGAAGCAGAAATGTTTCTCAAGATAAACTTTAATACCTTAAGATTCAAATTCCGGCAAAAACAAAAATTCCATCATTTACAAAATTTTCAGGTTTATCCCCGCCTTAATTCGTTTCTCAGACACGTTTTATCTCGTCGTTCCGAAACATTTTTTTTTTATTCCGCTTATATGCCCC